ACTACTACTACTACTACTACTACTACTACTACTGCTACTGCTACTACTACTACTACTCCTACTACTACGACGACTACGACGACTACTACTACTACTACTACTACTACTACTACGACGACTACTGTTACGACTCCGACTACGACTACGGCTACGACTACGATGACGACGACGACTTGTGCTGTCATTTGCTGCTATGACGGGTGGAGTCTCCCTAGCATTCGCAAGCCCTAAACTTGCGTTACAATGTCTCCCGAAGCCCTTTCAGATTTTCCTGGGCCCTGCGGAGTGATGATGGAACCCTCCCTAAACCCAAACCCCTAAACCCTAAACCGCAACCCTGAGGATTTGGGTCAACTCGGGCCCGGTTTAGCTATATGGCACCATATGGTGCCGACTTTGCTCATCGTACCCCTATCTGTAGCCGAAAAGACTTACTGTACCCTTGTAGGGTTCCTTACTGTGGGTTTCTATATGAAACATAGACGCTTCCCTTAGAAGGCTAGGTCTCAGCCCATCATCGAACCCCGACCTCGTTAGGCTTCCTTATCCATTCTCCACTTCCCGAGAAAGGTTAGGTCTTTTGGGCAAACCCTAAACCCTAAACCCTGAATTAAACCCTAACCCTAAACCCTAAATTAAACCCTAAACCCTAAACCCTAAAGTAAACCCTAAACCCTAAACCCTAAGTTAAACCCTAAACCTAAGCCCTAAACCCACTGGTAAGCTTTACGACAGAAGCTCCTCAACATCCTCTCCAAACCTTTCAACGCCGAACACTGAACCCCGGGAGCCTGAAACTCCTAGAACCTTACAGGGTCTAGAGTTTAGGGTTCATCGTTTAGGGTTTAGGGTTCAGGGTTTAGGGTTTAGGGTTCAGGGTTTAGGTTTGGTAACCTTCATAGAATCGTAGCAACCTTAGTAACTTATGCAGCAACCTTTATCGTCATCTTTGCAGACACCCTTGCATGCTTATGGTAGGCTGTGATGTAGTCCCACCCTTCTAGTAGGCCTTGTACTAAACCCCTGCAGCATCGAACGGCCTTAGCCCTAAACCCTAAACCCTAAACCCTACACCCTGAACCCTAAACCCTAAACCCCTGAGCTTGGGACCAAAGGTTGTGGCGCGCTAACCTGGCGACGAGTGCTCCACCTGTTCGATGGGATCCTGCGTCGGACCCCTTTGATTTAGGGTTCAGGTGTGTTAGGGTTCAGGGGTTTAGGGGTTTAAGGCTTTCTTCAAGTTCTGTAAGGGCTAGTATAAGGTTTACTTGCAGGGCTTCATAGAAGGGCTAACTATACGAGTTCCTTTCGGGGTTGTCATATCTCCATTTAATGCGATGTAGGGTTTAGGATTCAGGTTTGGGGGTTTCGGTTTTGGTGGTTTAGGGTTTAGGCTTTGCGGCTTTGGTTTACAGGTTAGGGTTGTTGCAAGCCGAACACATCGCCCCAAAACAGGCTGAAAACCCTAAACACTCGGCATGCTGGTTTTAGAACGTGGGTCACGAGGTGTCGTGATTCAGGCGAGCGACCGTACTAGAACTGATCTCCAACCCCCTAACCATGAGCTTCCTGAAACCCTACCGGTTTAGGGTTTAGGGTTTAGGGTTTCGTAAAACCCTCAACCCTACACTCTAAACCCATAGCCCTAAATGCCTAAACCCTAAACCCTAAGCCCCAAGCCCTAGATGCAGTTTTTTGTGGGTCGCAGGAGTGTGGAGGTCGATTTGATGGCCTACAACGCAGCATCCTGGCACAAGCAAGCCTTGGACCCGTACATGCCGTGGATGTGTTGAGGGTTTAGGGGTTTAGGGTTTAGGATTCAGGGGTTTAGGGGTTTAGGGTTTAGGGGTTTAGGGTTTAGGGTTTAGGGTTTAAGGTTTAGGGTTGAGGTTCGTGCGTGTGTGTGTGTGTGTGTGTGAGCCTGTATGCACGTCTGTGCCTACACAGTTGCTGTGATTCTTGTATTGCAACGGTCCGATGACGGGTTGCCTTGTATGTCTGGAGTATAAAAACCACCCCAACCCCCGAGCAGAACTACTATTCTGGTTTCCAGATGTGGAATCCTTATGCATTGATCGTTTAAGGAACCCGTTAAAAAGACCCACAAAGCCCTGTCTGTCTGACATTTAACCTAGACTCCGAAACCCTAAGCCCCAAACCCTGACTATGTTTGATTTGGGTTTAGCGTTTAGGGCTATTTTGTCAAACTTCTATACAACAAGCTGATCCATTTAGGGCTTTGGGCTCGGGCTTTTAGGGCCCTCGTCCTTTATAAAGTTTTGGGGTTGAGCGGGAGGCCTTGATTCTGAAGGGCCGCGTTAAGGACATACCAGTGAGTATTTTCTATGGCTGACGCAACAGCACTACAATATCTAGTGCTTCTTGTTACGTTTCGCCTCTCCCTGCTTAGCATCCAGGAGGAACAGTATACGCTCATGACTCATGACCCGAAGAAACTACGCACAGGCATTGCACTGCTCCCTTGCCTAAACCCTGATTTCCTTCAACCCCTAAACCCCGACCCAAACACCCCGAGCTAAACCCCAATCCCGAAACCGCAGAACCCGAAGTCATAGACTCCACGCCCGATGCCTCAGTCTATGCTAAGCCCGGAGATCTTACACCTTGAGCCCTATACCCTAAACCCTAAACCCTAAACACCCTGAACCAGGCTCTCAGTGCCTGCGATGCCGGTGGCAAGTGGCAAGCGGCTCTGCTCCTCATCGAGAGGCTGAGAGCCAAGGCGAGAAGCGGGGGTCTTGGGGAATCTACTTGGAGGATCATGGGACTTAGTAAGTAAGGTGAAAAAAGTCCCCTAATTGGGGTTATAAGTATAGTTACCTTAGTTATAACCCTACTTACTAAGTCCCATGATCCTTTATGTAAGTCCTGAAAAGGGCCTTGAGCGGCTTATGGGCTCTATCGTCTGTAGCGGCTCCTACCAGAGAGACATGTATCGGGGAGAAGAGGGATGAAGGCTCTAGGTTTTCGGGGTTTAGGGTTTAGGGTTTAGGGTTTAGGGTTTAGGGTTTAGGGTTTAGGGTTTAGGGTTTAGGGGTTCATGGAGCTTTAAGAGTTTGGGGCTTTAAGGAAGTCTTTTGTGAGTACTTAAAGGATCATGGGACTTAGTAAGTAGGGTTATAACTCAGGTAACTAGTGTAACTATGCTTATAACCCCAATTAATTAGGGGACTTATAACCTTACTTACTAAGTCCCATGATCCTCCAAGTACAGGAGTTCATTAGGCATAGAAGTTTCTCGGCCTAGGCTGTGCGGCTTGCCGTTTCGATCCGACCCGCGTAGAAGCCTCTGGGACAGTCACGGTGTTGCGAGCATCACTACAGAGCCAGGGTTTAGGGTTTAGGGTTTAGGGTTTAGGGTTTAGGGTCTAGGGTCTAGGGTTCAGGGTTTAGGGTTTAGGGTTCAGACCAGACTGGCCCCTTTACGCAAAGGTTGGGGTTCAACATCCCTAAAACCCTAGGCCCCACCCCCTTCAAAGGACCAGGAAGTCTCACACCCCGAGCCGGTGAACCATGACCAGAGGCGCCCCAAAATTCTGAAGCCTGCACACCCTAAACCCTAAACCCTAAACCGTAAGGGTTTAGGGTTTAGGGTTTAGGGTTTAGGGTTTAGGGTTTAGGGTTTAGGGTTTAGGGTTTAGGTTTAGGGCCTAAACCCTGAACCCTAAACTCTACACCCTATAAAC